TCACTTACCCTGCCTAGCCTTGAACTTGTGAAGTATTGGCCTCAGAATCCCAGGTACCTGGGTCATTGTGATTTTTAGTCTCCATTTCTGTAATGACTAGGGCTCGGTGAACATCTTTTCATGTGCATATTAATCATTTGTAATTTTCTTTTTCCAAAGGTATGTCAAATCTGATCTTTTTAAATTGGATTGTTTTTGTAATAATTCCATATATGAGTCATAGATCAGATATTTGTGAAATATTTCTTCCTAGTCTGTGGCTTTTCTTTCTTTATGGTATTTCTTGAAGAACAAAAGTTGATTTTGAAGGCTGGGGATTTAGCTTAATGGTGGTGCCGCCACCTGCCTTGCAAGTGCAAGGTTCCAAGTTCGATCCCCAGTACCGAAAAAAAAGTTAATTTTGATGAAATCTATCTACAAAATTTTTTTTGTATGCTTTTGGCATCATATTTAAGAAGGCTTTGTCTAACTGAAGGTCACAGTTTTTTAAAGCAGAACTTTTATAGTTTATTTTTTATTTTTTATTTCTTAGAGAAGGTCTTGCTATACAGTTCAGGCTGGCCCTGAACTCACTGACCTTGAAGTCATGATGATTCTCCTGCCTCAGTCTCCTGAGTGCTGGGTTTACAGGTGTGCACCACAGCACGTGGCTTAGGAGTTTTACAGTTCTAGAAGGACATAGATGACATCCTGAAAAGTTCTGAGTGATTAACTCTGGAATGTCTTCAACAAGTAATGAGTAGTTGGATTATAACCCAAAGAATAAAATAAGCATCCATTAGTTCATACAGATACAAAAAAAATTTTGGACAATTTATAATTTATTTCAAAATAAAAAATTATGCATTTTACTGTAAAAAAAATGGCCAAAAGGTTTTGATAGTTTACTACAGAATTTATGAATGGCAAATAAGTATATGAAAATATACTGAGCTTATTATTGAGTAATTATAGATGTGCAAATTAAAACCGTGATATATACTTGTTCCGCCACCTGCCTCGCAAGCACAAGGACCCAAGTTTGATCCTTGGTACCAAAAAATAAATAAATAAATAAAATAAAATCACTGACCATACCAAGTACTGCTGAGGATGTGGAAGAACTGTAATTCATCTGCACTGCAGGTGGCAGTATAAAATACTACAGCCATTCTGGAAAATAACCTAGTGGTTCTTAGCAGTCTTAGCATACATCTGCCGTATGATCCAGCCATTCCACTCATATTTATCCAAGAGAGAAGAAAATTACGTCTGCAAAGAAATGTATAAATGTTCATTGCAGTTTTATTTATAATTAGTCCCAAACTGGAAGTAATCCAGATGTCCTCTAACAGGTTGAGCAAGCAAATTGTTGTATGATCAGTGAAATATTGCTCAGCACTAAAAATGAACTATTCATAGGTGCAGCTTTGTGGATAAATCTCGGAATAATTATGCTGGGTGAAAAAAGCAAAAAAATGCAGAGTATGTGATTCTGTTTCTTTAACATTCTAGAAAATATGAATTAATTTATAATGTCAGCAAATCAGTGATTGCCTTGGGGTACATGGAGTGGGTTACAAAGGAGTATGAGGTGATGGCTATCTATATTATCTGTTTAAGGCATTAGACTCACAAATTTAACACATGTCAAAGTTCACCAAACTGTACAATTTAAATACAGTGTATCTCAGTCCATGAACCTAATTCTTTCCACGATTCTGGTCACATACCAAACTGGACAGGCACTGAATCAAATTTCCCCATAAGGTCAACGTTAAACCTAACCATTGAATTTGATTACATTCCTCTTGGGGAATTGGTATATGTACATAAAACATTTTAATTATTTTCTCATTTCCCTCTCCACTACCTTCCCCCCATTTTTTTAGTTTCTTTTCCTTTTGTCAGAGATCTGTCTCCCTATTTTTTTCATTAAGTTTATTGGTATTTTTTTAGGTATATAATACAGTTACATTTATCATTGGGATCTTGTACCTTTACATGATGTATCTTGGCTCTTATTTTTTCCTCATACCCCTTCACCCTACCCTCTCTCCACCCTCTCCACCCGTCCCTATTTACAAAGACTGTGTTTCCATTTTTTCCTTTTCTCATACAATACAGATACACCTTAACGTGTCAGTGTTTTCTGTACATTAATTTCAAACTTTAGAAAAAAAGCTATGGACATATGTAGAGAAAGCAAGCATATACGGCAACAAAAATGCTCTTGCTATCAATCCTTTTTTATAAATGGTATAGTCTAGTTCAGAAAGGGTAAAGTAACTAGTCCAAAGCAGTCAGTCAGCAAGCAAATGGTAGAACAAGATCTTGAACTTCCTGACCTTTGTGTATCACTACATTTGAGTTTGATGCTGTTTTCTGTGTTGACTTGCCTACTTCATCATCCCAGGCATGTGGGAATGTGGTTGTATTACATTCCTCAGGCTCAAGAACAAGTTTGAAAGTGCAGTCATTGACTTACATTATTATTAGTCATCCCCTACCCCCATCCCACCTATTCCTTCTTTAGACTTTGTATGTCTGAACATGTTTGTATGTTTGACCTTGGCTCTAATTAAATATTCTTTGATTTAGGTTGAGACTGAGCAGAAATACTCTTGATTTAAATAGTCCAGACATACTGAATTTTGGAGTCACTTTTTAAAATTGCAGACTTGCTTTGTTGGTGGCTTTAGATTTAGGATTGATTCCAAAGCAGCAGATACTATTAATTAAATATTTCACGTATTTTGTACTTTACCTCATTCCACAAAACATTTGTGGTGATTGAAGATTAATATTCAGTAAATTGCTTTCCTTCATCTAACATTTCTAAAATTTTGATCTAAATAAGACTTGGGTGAATTTATTAGATTGCTAGCCTTTTAAAAAATAGAAAAAAAAGCAACATTTTACAACAACCAGCTGATTAAAGGATCATATTTAAGAATGGTTTTGCATTGAAATGTTGACCTTCTGGAGTAGTTGTTCTTTTTCTGTGAGTTTAATTGAACTCATAGTGGCATTTTTAGATAATGTGTGGTTTTATTTACTTTTATACAAACTAAATTGCCCTTGTGACCCAGCATAAAATTTAAGTGCTAACAGCAGTTATTTATTTTGACAACAGAATTAATTGAGTCTAAAACATTTGAAATTCCATTTGTAGCAAACTATTCATTAAACTCCACTCTGGCCTCAATACTGTCAAAACAATAATGTCTTATGATTAAATAGCAGAACTATGGGCAGTGGAGTGAATTTGAGGGAGATTGCTGAATAAACTTTCCACTTGTGAAACAGTTCACAAGTGACATGGTACAAGGGAGGTCAGAATATGCATTGATATCCAGCTGAGCTGTGCCTGAGCCAGATATCCAAAGCCTTCCATGTGAAAGAGCATGTGGAGCATTTGCCACTAAAGTCTTTTATGTGCACAATTCAATGCTTTTTTTAAATATAGAAAAAAGAGTATGTTTGGTTTTATTATATGAGAAACTGTTGATATTTTTACCTTTAATAGAAAAATTTATGTGAGTGGTACTCAGACATTTTACATATATTTTATGATTTTAAAGGATTTGGTATTTTTAAATTTAGTAGATTTAAAAAATGGTTTTTACTTTTAGTTTTTTTTTTTTTTTTTGGAAACTGCTATCTTAAAAAAGATTTTAAGAGAATATTTAGAAAATATAAGGACAAATTAATCAAGATAATACCTGTATAGGAAAAAGGGTTTTGAAGAAAAATGCAGACTTTTGTTTGAAGAGATTAATTTTATAATTAAGGGGTACCTTCACTATTTTCACATAAATGAAGTCGCCCAAAAATCTTAAAATATTTTTCTGTGTATACCATATTTGCTAAGGTGATGTTGTAAAAGTCCTACATTTAAAAAATATATATTTGTAAAGAATATAATTTGATTGTCATTGGTGTGTTTTTATTTTTATCTTATTTCTCCTCTCTAAAATAAGCCTGTAGCTTAGAGGTTCTGTAAGTAGTTACTGGTACAAAAATGTGCTATGTAGCTGTAGGAGAATTTTGACTGACCACATTTCTGGTTGCTTTTTTTGGGGTAAACTTTCAGATTCTCACACTTTATTATTACTTAGAAAAGCCATAGTACATAATAAGCTGTTAGTAATTTATGTTAGTGATTTTTCATAATCTTAAAATCAAGGAAAAAATTGGTTCGTATGAGGTGCACATAATTAAGTTCTTTGCCATTATCATCTTTGTCTGTTCTCATCTCATTGTGAACTGTTACAGTCCTCTAAAGGATTTTAAGAACAAACTCTTAAGACCTTTCATTAAATGATTTCTCAGCTTCCAGATTTGCAGAATGGGCTTGAATAAACTCCTTAATAATAATAATAATAATAATAATAATAATAATAATTATTATTATTAAGCAAGGCAGGCAGCAAAACCACTGAGCTAAATCCCTGGTCCCAACTCCTTACATTTTTAATTGGATCATTTCCTGACCCTTTAAAACTTTTTTGGGTGGAAGTGACAAATATTGTTTTTCTTAGTCATTATTAATGTAAGAATTAAGGATACAGTGGTGAATAGGAATAATGAGGCCTCATCCTTATATTCTAGTAATATTTTACTATCTTGGTACCCTTATTTTTCCCAAGAGCACCACCAAGGATTAAGCAGCTACCCCTTACTGTATTTTTTTCTCTTATTAACTGTGTTGCAGATTCCTTGAAACCAGAAACTACATGTTCTATGTGTGCTTTTCTGTGATATCACATATAAAAGATTCTCAATAAATCATTGTGGTCAAATTAGACTTGTGGTCAAATTAGATGATTTTTTCAATTTTGGGGATTATTTAATTTTACAAAACTTACTGATATTTTAATTATCTGATAACACTAGAACATATTACAGAATCATTAGAAAGATGTATTAGAAGTTAAATTGTAAGTTAATGAAAGTGTAGTATAATGGATTTATCAGATAATTGTTTTCTACTAGAACTTGCTTCCCCTTCCTTTCAGGCCTTATTGAATTTGAAGAATGTGACCCTGCTAGTGCAGTTGAAGGTAAGTTAACTTCTTGTATAATCTTATCAGTGTATGTGGCACTTTGCTCATTGTATTGTTGTGGAACAAATAAAGAGGGCCTACCATCCTTAGTGTAGCATGTCTGTTGAATAACATAAAAATATGAAATTGTAGTTTGAAGGACTGCAAGTGCCTATTGTTATTAAACAATAAAATTGCCTGAAGGAATATAAGTGTGTTGAAACACATTTTATGATGATTATTGAACTGTGGGCCTCGTGCATCTTAGGGAAGTACACTGTACTTCTGAACCACACCCTAGACCAAATATATATTTTAAAAGATGAAATGCATATATTTTTTCAAATATATATTCAGATTGTTTGTTGACATCCATCATTAAGTTTTCTAATGTCGTGAATGTGAAAACCATCACTGCACATTAATGTAGAGTGCTGATTCCACAGTGGGCAGCATTTCATTTATTATTACGAATTAATATTGCTATCATTCAAAATGGGAGATCAGTACACTTGGTAGAAAAGTTTGCATCTAGCTTGACTCCTATTTAACTAGGTATTTTTTATAGAATAAGAGACCAAAGATGCTTTTAGTTTTTATTCATGTTTTATATGTCCCAATTTGTGAGCTAATAGAAATAATTTGAAAACATTAATCCTTTTTTCCAATTTTTATGTAAGAATTTGGAAAAATGATTTGTTATACGTGTGTTAGTTTATTACAATATTAAAGTTATCAGTAGGCCTGGAGCCTAGGCTTCCTGAATTCAGTAGCTGTTTGACTGGGAGCAGTAATTATTTAAGTTGTCTGAACTTAACTTTTCATCCTAAAGTGAGCAAAATTTAAAAAAAAATCTGCATTGTTGTCGCACATCCCTATAATCCTAGTGCTTGGAGAAGCCGAGGCAGGAGAATTACAAGTCCAAGCTCAGGCTGGACAACTTAGCAACTTAGACCCTGTCTCGAAAAAGGACTCGGGATATATAGCTCAATGGGAAGGCCTGGACGTGGACTCAGCCCCCAGTATCCTCCCTACCCAAATCACAATACCATTTACTAATATGGAGTTTAGGGCACTCGTTTTGCATGATAACAAGTTCATTACTCTATGACACCTGGATTCTTGTTCTTGCTGAGTTAGAAAGCAAAAACAATTCCTTTGAATTTCATCATATATAAGATGAATGGTTAGTAAAGGTGACTCAAGATCTCTTACTGCTCACTTCTCAAAGAAGCTCATAAAGTTTCAGTGTTGAAATCCATCAACAGTAAAATGATGACCTTTAAGCATAGGGCTTACTATGTAAGAAGAGAAAGAACAAAGATGATTCCCCTTCTCAGGTATGACAGGATACATTTCTAATATACTTGGGATGATATAAAAATGCAAAGAATACCATGTTGCAAATTTTCTTGTTGAATTTTTAATGGATCAGTTGGGTCATCTTTTTAAACAGTTTAAATTTTGTGACCATATAGACAAGAAACATAATTTGACCTACATATATAACAAAGTGTAATGGAAATCTGTGAATATTTAGAAGATTTCTGTATACTGCTTTTGACTAATGTGACTTAGGAAAGAGAAAAGAAATTTATTATGTGAATGTTCTATAATCTCTTGGTGATTGATAGATTACACTGTGTAATATTATCATAAGGCTTTGCTACTATGTGATTTAAATAAGGTTGATACTTTTATTTTTTTCATTCAAATCTAGCATCAAACATCATGAACAAACCATGTCTAATTACAAGTATTCCTAAGTGTAATATGTCAGGAATTATTATATTTTTGTAACAATATACATTTATCTTAAAGGCATAAAACCAAGGAAAAGAAAGACTTTTGCTTTGCCAGGCATAATTAAAAAGGAAAAGGATGCAGAATCTGTGTAAGTATTTTAAATCTTAGCCACATTATTTTCAGTGTTAGAAGTGATTAAGAATGAAATTGTTAGTTTGAATTAAATAAAAAGCCTTTTGGAAATAATTCAAAGTTTAGAAGCTTAAAAGTGAAGAGCGAACTAAAATGTGTCAGTCTTATTAACCAAGAGGATACCTTTGGTCACCTGTTTGAAGAAAATTCTTCTCTACTCTTCTTTTTTGGTTTCTCAACACTGGGGAATGAATTCAAGGCCTTCACAGTGAGCTACATCCCCAGTCCTTTAATTTTTTTTTTTTTTTTTTTTTTTTTTTACAGTATCTCACTACGTTGCCCAGGCTGGGCTTAAATTTGCCCTTCTCTTGCATCAGTCTTCCAGAATGCTAAGTTTACAGTTGTGCACCACCACACCTGGCTCAATTCTCGAAGTACCTGGAGTATGTAAATAAATACATCTATGCCTGCCAGGCCCTACCTCAGACCAATTAAATCAAGATTCTCTGGGCATGAAACCTCATCAGTTTTTGTTCTATTTTGTTTTACGTATACTGTGTGATTCCTCATGTAAGCCCATGACTGGGAAACACTGAGTTGTGATTGATCAGTGAGAAACTTGAAGCAAAAGAATCTTTTTCTCTATAATTTATTAGTATGTTTAGATTGAAGAGACACTAATTAAAATCTTAAGTGACTTGTTCATCAAGTAATAATATTTGAAAATGAAAAAATATTTAAAATCTCTACTCTAGCATAATCAGTGGAACTCCTTTGGAGGTTTGATATTTTGATGAGCACTCCTACCTAGTTTTGTTCTTGTTATCTGAATTTCTCAAGAGCCCCCCCACCCAGTTTTAATTCTCTTCTTTCCACCAAAGTGGTATTTGGTTAACAAAGTAAGACTAATTGCAATATGATCTACTATATCTATGGTTATCATCTTTTCTGCAAATGTTTTTCTTGAGCAGTTTTGAAGGGATACTTTGCTAAAAGGATATGATCTAATTTCTTTTTGTTATACTGGAAATACATATTGAAGTTCAACCAGTTGATTTATGAATAAATTTAAAACTAGCCAATTTATCTGATTTTTGTTTTTGTTTTTGTGTTTTGTATTGGGGATTGAACCCATGGCTTTCCTAGCCCTTTTATTTTGAGATAGGGTCTTGCTAACCTGCCTGGGCTGGTCTTGAACTTGTGATCCTCCTGCCTGAGCTTCCCAAGTAGTGGAATATTTTTTACCAACAAGAATATAAGAGTCAAAAGCCAATATTTAAATCATTGCGCCATCATAATCTTTTTTCCAACTTTTTATCAGGAAAAATGTTACAATTCACTTTGCTTAAATTCCAGAGGCTCTTTGCATGCCTTAACATCAGATTCTGGAGACTTTTAAGATGCCAGTAGTTGTAAAAGATGGGTCCTGGTCAGATCTTGTTCTTTCTTGGGCTTAATCTTTGTAGGTTACTGTAGGACAAACAGATGAGTGCTTTACTGCATAACTAGAGCATCTGCCTCAAAGCCATGGGCTTTTAAAACATTTTATGTTAAACCATGTCTTTCTCTTTCTCTGTCTCTTTTTTTTTTTTTTTTTTTAGTACAAAGGATTGAGGGACTGAATCCATGAATCCATGATCTTTGTACTGAGATATATCCCTAAGGCCTTTCAAAAAAATTTTTTGTTGTTGTTGTTGGTACCAGGGATCGAACTCAGGTCCCTGTACTTGGCAGCGGAACCACTCAGCTAAATCCCCAGCCCCAAAAGTTTCTTTTTTGAGACAAGTTTTCACTAAATTGTCCAAGATGGGCTTGAATTTGAGATTTGTCTCCCTTAGATACCTAGAGTATTGGGATTAAAAGCATGTGCCACTATGCCTGATTAAGTTGTCTTTTTTTTTTTTTTAAAAGAGAAAGTACAAATATTCTAACATCTTGATTAATTTGATTTTCTAGGATTTAATTTATTATTGTGCCATTTCTGGAATATTTCCTCAAAACATACACAGGGTTCCCCCCGCCATATATATTGGTATTTTCCATCTACCAGTAAGGAAGCTGTATTTTATTTTTTATTTTTTATTTTTATTTTTGGTACTGGGGATTGAACTCAGGTCCTTGCGCTTGCAAGGCAGGCCACCGAACCACTGAGCTACATCCCCGGGCCCCAGGAAGCTGTATTTTAAAATTTGCAATTTTAAAGTGACCCCACCCCTGCCTTTTTTGGGGGGGCAGTGTTTTGTTGCTGAGAAGAGTATCAAACTTCTGCGCTCAAGGGGTCTCCCCCAGCCTCCTGAGAAGCTGGGATTGTAGGCATGTATTGCCATTCTGGGCTTTTTAAAAGTGACTTTTCAGTGTATATAAGGACAAGTGGGGTTTGCATTTGTATTGTCCCTTTGATACTTCAGTTTGGATTAAGAGCAGTATAGTCATCTTGCTTTTTCATTTTTAAATTTGTCTTCCTTTAACCACACACTTGTAGGTTTTTTTGTTTTGTGCTTTATCTTTGTGCAGATAGAGATGTTCTGTTTCTATAAGATTCTGATAGTCTATGCATTGTCTCAAGTCTGAGATCCAAATGCCTTTTACATCTACACTCTAATTTTTGTGAGTTTTAGATTGTATAACTTTATTCCTTATGATCTCAGAGGCCTTAATTTTATGTGTTTTGGTCTTTGTGTTTAAGTTTTACTTTAAAAGAATAGTTTTCACTAGCTTAAGTGCAAACTCAGTATTTGTTCCATCAATCAAATGATAGAATACTAGTTCTCAACTATATTTTATATTAGACTAGAAAGCTATTCCAACTGGAATTCTGTTCATTTATTAAGGGAAAATTAATTTTGACTTTAAGTTATAAAAAGTACTTACCTGGAGCTGAAATGTCTTAAAGTTTTTTATTTAAAAATTGTATGTATCGATATAAATTTATCCACTGTTAACTGTTTTTAGACTACCTGCCATTTTAAATATAGCTTTTTTTATGTATAAAATTTTATTTTTTTCCCAATAAGTTTATTGGTTCATTTAAAGCAAACAATACGTTACATTTATCATTGGGATCTTGTACCTTTACATGATATAGCTTGGCTCTTGTTTTTTCCCCATACCCCTGCCCTCCTTTCATTCCCTTCACCCTTCCCTATTTACAAAGACTTTGTTTCCATTTTTCATTTTTCACATTATGTCTTTTCCCTTATTTCCTTTTCCCTCCCCTTCCCACTTCCCATTAGCCACTTTCTTTCTGTTTCACACTCTCAATTATACCATTTGAATCTTATTTACACTTTTAGCTTTTTACAAAAAGCTTTTGCTTTTTAAAACCAAGCTTTCTTCTTTTTTTTTTTCTTCATTGAGTTTATTGGTTCTTTTTAGGTATACAGTACAGTTATATTCATCATTGGAATCTTGCACCTTTACATGACAGGTCTTGGTTCTCATTTTTCCATCCAAGCTTTCTTCTTTAAGGGAATCGTTTAAAAATAAACTTTCTTTACTTAAAGAGTAAAAAGCCACTGGGAAGAGAGAACTGACAAGTTCCTTGATAAGATGCACAAGTACTATATTCATGGGAAAGAAGTAACTTTGAAAATAGTTCTTAGAATACTTGCAAGTTATTTGTGCTTTATCTGGTATTACGAGTATAGGAATGCCTTCTTTTGATTATGATTTATACATTCTAATCTTTATGATTTGATTTTGCTGAATAATTTTAGAGTTTAAATGAAAGTTGTATTTAAATAGCAAGGAAGTACTTTAAAGATGGTATAATTAGCAGGCTGTTCTAAAACTCACGTTTCTGATAATTTCTTTGTTTTTTATAGGGAATGCCCTGATGCAGATTCACTTGTAAGTGTAATTAACTTTGATATAATCAATTTAAATTAGCTTTTTTCATTAGAAAAAAAAGCAGCATATTTGTTAACCAGTCATTCAAAGAAAAATGCTAATGTTATTTTATAAATTCACTATTTTGGTGGGGGAGACCAGGTATCGAACTCGGGTCCTTGTGAGGCAGACGGTGGCACCACTGAGCTAAATCCCCAGCCCTAAAATTATTTTGAGAAGGGCTGGGGATTTAGCTTAGTGGTTTTGCCATCTGCCTTGCAAGCTCAAGGTCTCAAGCTTGAGCCCTGGTACCAAGAAAAAGAAATAAAAATAATAATTTTGAAGATGCATTGTGGTTTTACATTGTCAGATGTTTTCCTTTTAACTAGTATTTTAAACTACTTTTGCAAAGGTGACATTTTGCTTTTAAAATTAGGATGATGCCATATCAGCATGCTCTCTCTTGGAAAATATACCAGATAACAAATCTGCATGCTTTAACTAATTTAGCCTTAGCTCTATTAAAATTCAGCTTTATGTATTCATACATTTGAGTTTTATTTAAGAGATTCTCACTTTAGAAATAAAAGCAAGAATGACCATGCTCAGTATTTTTGTGTGTTTTGTTTTAAAGAAGACTTGTTTATTTTTCTCGGTTAAATTATTTCTTTATATATAATTAAATAAGATACCAGATGAAGCTCCTGGGGAGAGGTGAAGTTGAGATTTATCAGATGCTATAAATAATATATAGGCAGTATATTTTTCAAACTGTTCATAAGACTCTACTCATATTATGTGTTTCAAGTACTCTGTCTCTTGCTTATTTTTTGTGCCTGTATAAAACTGTTACTGTGTTTGGTATAAAAACATTTTTGCAAAATAATGGTATACCAAAATAACTAAAAATGTTTTGTGAAACATTAGTAACAGGCTAAACTAGTGTTTTTGTTTTGTATTTCAATTTTTTTCTTTTGGGGGTTGGGAGGAAGATACTGGGGATTGAATTCAGAGTACTGAATTACAACACAGTTTTTTATTTCATTTTGAAACAGGGTCTCACTAAGTTACCCAGATAGGTACAACAATGAATGAAATTCTTTATTACTTGATGTTTTACATGTTTTCTTTTAATATGCTTCATTGAAACATTTTTAATTCAGCTTATTTATACTATTCCTTAGTGGTCAATTCTTAGGCAGTTTTGAACTGTAGGCCATATTTAACTGGGCTAAACACAACACACAGTACACCATTTTCTCATATACACATGAGAAAAAATACACCATAAAAGGACCCCATAAAATACACAATACACCATTTTCTCATACACATGTGAGAAAAGATGCATCATAAAACAACATAGTAAAATACACCATGTAATTTTTTGGGGCACGGAGGGTGGGGGAGGAGGTTTGAGACAGAATCTCACTATTTGTCCATGCTGGCCTTGAACTCACTATGTAGCTCAGGCTGGCCTTAAACTCACTGTGATCCTCCTCCCTCAGCCTCCTGAGTGCTGGGATTACAGGCCTGCACCACACACCATATAATTTCAATAAATTGTTATTAAACAAAAAGGATTTGAATCACCAAAGACAAACTTTGCAAGACATCTAACAAAGAGCTAGTTACTTTCATTAAAAATTTTATACAAATGAATACAAAAATGCCTAATAGGAAAATAATAAAAGCAGGCAGTTTTCATAAAAAGAAATAAAAATGGTAAATAACTGTAATAAATACTACTTAAAACTAATACAAATTAAAATAAAACTACTGTAGTTTCAGTCATATCAAAATTTTGATATACTTACAGCTTTGGTACACATTCTTTTTGACTCTAGGAATTTACTCTGCTAGGAACTTACTGTCATGCCTGTGTTCATAATACAGCATATTTCTACAGTACTGACACACATACACACTATTGATCAAGATACATATATATATAGGACAGGGGAGACACCAGAAACATCCATAAAATGAGAACTGGTTAAATTTTTAAATAGTCACTTGACAAGATAATAGTCAGATATTACAAAAGGTTGATTTGTTTGCTAAACTTATTAATTAAAAGGAAATAATGGACTTTCTTTAAGTGATTGCTGTTTTTAAAAAAATATAAATATGCATGTGATGTCTTTTTAAACAAGCTTCTTAATTGTGGTTGCCTTTGGACAGATGGATTACAGTGGTGATTAGCAGGGAAAACAGACTTATTTTTTTGTTTCCCTTTATGGCCAATTATTGTTATTTATTACCTAATTATGGCCCTTGTCTTAATTATTTTAAAAAATATCAGTAGATTCTGTTGGTAGAAAACTTTTCATTTCTTCATCTTATTTTTAAGGTCTATGAAATTAAAAATACTAGAGGAGAGATTTATGAAACTTTTTGTTGAGCTCCCTTATTATACATATATATGTACTGGGAATCGAACTTGGAACCTTGCATTTGCAAGGCAGGCAGCTGCACCACTGAGCTAAGTCCCTGGCCCCCCTTATAATAATTTTTTTAAAAATCACCACTATTACAAGTGATTTTAAAAATTGATAGGTAAAGTGGCCTATCTTGTTCTTCATATCACTTGATTCACTTCAGGAGTATGGGTTGTAAGGTCATAGAAAAGATGTTATTAGTATTAAATTACTGTGAATGGTGCTAGCATAGAAAAATACCCTTGAATTATTGCTGTAAAAATCTATTTGGAAATAATTATGAATTAGCAAAATGCAGTGACAATACAGTATAATATCATGAACATACACGTTATTCCCTTTTCCTGATGGTGACATCTTGGAAAACTGTAGTTTCACAATTGGTATATTGATATAATTCTGTCAAAAAAACATTTCCATTACCATAAAGATCCCTCATGTTGGCTGCTTTTTTTTAATTGAGTACCTTTCCTTTCTCCAACCCCTCTTCAACCTCTGGCCACCAGTAACCTTTTCTCCATTTCTATAATTTTGTCTAACTCAAGAACATTATAAAGGGAATCATACAATATAGCATTTTGAGATTCCCTTTTTTCACTTAGCACAATATCTAGATATTCATGTAAGTTGTGTACAGTACATAGAGTTCATTCTTTTGTTGCTAACTAGTATTCCATGTAATGGATGTACAAGTGATTTTTTAAACATTCACTTAGTGCAGGATATTTTAGTCATTTCCAGTTTTTTGCTGTTAGAGGTAAACTTACTATGAACATAGGTTTTTGTGTGGATATAGTTTTTGCCCTGGTAATTTTCTTTCTGAAGTCTGCTTTATACTAAGCTACTTCTGCCTGTTTAATATTTTTATTAATGTGTATTTTTCCATCCTTCATCTTTCAGCCTACCTATATCATAATATTTGAAATGATTTTCTTATAGACAGCCTATATTTGGATCATATTTTGTATTCAACCAGTCTCAGTATTTATAACCATAATTTATTTTTGTTACTAATTGTGGTTTTATTATTTAAATTTTAATATAGTTTTATTTTTTAATCAATTCAATAATCATACATATGTATGGAATATAGTGTGACATTTCATAATGTAATGTAATGATCAGATGAGGGTAATTGGTATATTCATTACCTCAAAACCTTTATCATTTCTTTAGCTTCAACATATAAGTAAGAACATGTATTAACTGGTGTTTCTGTGCCTGACTTATTACCCTTAAACATGTCTCCAAGTTTGTTCATATTATTGGAAATGACAGGAGTTCATTTCCTTTTTGTAGCTAAATAATACTCCATTACATTTTGTCCTTTTATCTATTGATGGACATCTAGGCTAACTACTATAAATAATACTGTAATAAACATTGGAGTCCAGTTACCTGGCCATTCTAACTGGGGTGAAATCATATTTCATTGTGGTTTTGATTTGCATTTCATTGATAGTTACTGATGTTGAGCAGTTTTTCTTACACTTGTTGACCATTTTATTTTTGCGTTTTTGCTGTTTAGTTGTTAAAGTCCCTTATATATTCTGAATATGAATCCCTTTTTGGGTGAATAGTTTATAAATATTTTCTCTCACTCTGTAGGTGGTCTCTCAACTCTGTTAATTATACCTTTTGCTCTGTAGAAGCCTTTTAGTTGATACAGAGTTGATATATTTGGACCATTTATATTTAATGATGTCAGAGTTTAAGTCAACCATTTTCTTTTTTTCCTTGTCCCCCCCCATTTTTATTTCATTTTCTTGCCTTCCTATGGGTTGAACCTTTTTAGACTTCCATTTTTATTTATTTATAATTTTTGGGTGAATCACTTGGTACAGCTCTTTTAGTGGTTAGTCTAAGTCAGCCTCCAGTACCTTCAAGTAGTTGTTTATATATTTTGGCCAGGCATTATAGTTGTAATCTTCAGTTTAGCCCAAAAGCACCTTGGTCAGCTTTACAGAAAAAAGCTTGGCGTCATTTTAACTTGTTTCACTGTATTAGTGCATTGTAAGCAAATTTAAAGATGTGTCAGTTACCAGATCCAGATAGAACCTCCAGGAGACTAAATATAGTAGTTCCCTCTTATTTAAGGAATATATATTGTAAGATTCTTTTTGTGCACATTCATATGTATGTATGTATTTTTTTCCTATATATACATATTTACCTATGAGAGTTTAATAAATTAGGCACATTAAGACATTAACAACAATAATAAAAGTTATAAAAATACAGTGTAATAAAAGTTATTTTAATATATGAATTGTTGATTTCTGAAATTTTCAGTTTAATATTTTCAGACTGCAATTAGCCCCAGGAAATTGAAATCGTGGAAAGCAAACCTGAATTGAATGGCAGCAGGACTACCCTATCTGGTGTTTTGTTTTGTTTTGTTTTGGTACTGGGGGTTGAACTCAGGACCTTGCGCTTGCAAGGCAGGCATGCTGCCACTGAGCTAAATCCCTGGCCCCTGTATCTGGTGTTTTTGTAGGCCACCTGGAATAAGAATAAAGCTTTTTTACTTTTTTTTTGGTACTGGGAATCGAACTCAGGACCTTGCGCTTGCCAGTCAGGCACAGTGACACTGAACTAAATCCCTGGCCCAGAATAAAGTATTTTGATGAAACTTCATCTTGATTTCTTATTAATCTGCACTTGACTGTAACACCATGACATACTGAGGAAGTCTTTTTTTTTTTTTTGGTACTGGGGCTTGAAATTGGGACCTTGCTCTTGCCTGGCCGGCACCAGCACCACTGAGCTAAATCTCTGGTCCCCAGTCTTTTTTTTTTTTTTTTTTTTTTTTTAACATTTATTTGGAAATAATTTCCAACTTACAAAGATGAAAGAATAATACAAACAGTTGTATCCTACTTATTTTTTACATTTACTTTAACATTTTTGTTCTGTATAATATGTGTGCTTTTTGTATATGTATATAATTTTTTTCTGATCTATTTTAATGGAAGGTACTATATTGCAGTATTTTATCCCTAAACATTTACATGTTGTTTTGCCTTAACTTAAAACACAAAAGCATATTGAGAAGTGTCTCTTTCTCCTTTATTTCTTATATTCCATTATCCTCTTTTATTAGACAAACAACTTCATTATGTTTAGATTATTCTTCCAGTGGTTTTCTGTTTCATAAAGTTAAGCAGGTACATATACTTACATTCTACCTCCCCCATATATTTATTTATTTTAGAAAAATTTCATCTGAATATATTTCACATATATCTCTGAAACATAACCACTATACCACTCCTTAGTATTTTCAGGTAACCTTTCAGTGTTTATATTAGTCATTATTTCTATTTTTATTTATTTATTGAAGATACTAGATGGTTTGTTTTGTAGCTTACTTTAGTCAGGATTTTTCTGATTGATTCCCATAGTATATTATGTTTTATGTCTCCATGTTATGGAAAGTGGTATTTGGATCTAGAGGCTTGATCTGATTCAGCTTCGAGTTTTATTTACCTTTTAACAAGGTCTTCTCTAAGGAGGCACATGATGACTCTTCAAGAGATGTGGGCAGATATTGATGTGCTGTCCTAGATAGCTCACCCAGACTTTAAACTGCTTCAAAGGGATACTGTCCCTTATATTTCCATATAGCTTCTTGTAGCTTTGAGAATATTTACTTTGACAATATTTTTTAATTCACATATTCTCTGATTCACATTAGAAACCATAGGTTTTGAACACTCTGAATTGGTCTTCATCTTGGCAGTTTTTTTGTCCTGAAATTATGTTTCTCTTGTTCTATTTTGTAGCTTTTTCTTCACATGTCTGAAACATGGAGTGTGATTTGAAGCTAATTAAAAAGATACAACTTTTCCACAGTGCTAACAATTTTAACATGTTGATATTTAATAAATGATTTTGTTCTTCAGTAATAGTTGACTGTTTTGCTAATCTGTATAATTTTGTATATTATAGTTGTCATTACAGTAAATTTTTTTTCCCATAGAACATTCCTGATGTGGATGAAGAAGGCTATAGTATTAAACCAGAAGCAAACCAGAATGATATCCTTTCATTATGTGTGTATTCTTAGGGATTGTGTTGACAAGTGAGTAGACAGTTAAAACACAATAAATGTGTTACTTAAATCTCTTCAAATTAATAATAAAATGTGACTCCGTAATAAAATGTGACTCTTCTCATTGGACAAAGTTTTATTAATAAAAAATTTTATTTCTTTGTTTTACCTTTAAAGGTTTTGTTCCTTTTTATAAATATGTAGAAAACTGGTTATACAGTAAGTTAATAGGAAGACTAAATTCTTTAACTGAACTCACATACCAAAGAGAACCATTTCTACTCATCTAGTGATTCTGACTCTGAAGATGAAGAACCAAAGAAGATTCGGATAGAAATCAAACCTGCACTTCCAAATAACTCACATCATACAATGGCTTCTTTGGATGAATTAAAAGTATCTATAGGAAATATAACACTCTCTCCAGCAATATCTGTAAGAACATACACAAATTTGTACTCATTATTTACATTCTCTACAGCTAATTAATGTCAAGACTAATAAATATGTAGCAATAGTGTAGCACATCGGGTGAGAAAATAGTTCATAAGTATATATAAATTTTTTTTTTTTTTTGCTGGGGATTAGCTCAGTGGTGCCATGCCTGCCTTGCAAGTGAGAGATCCTGAGTTTGATCCCCCATACTGGAAAAAGAAAAAAATTTTTTATTGGTACATGTTTGTAGTGCATAATGATTACTTACATTCATTGTGGGTGATAGTTACATGTACATAACACATCTTAATTCTTATTCTTTTCCTTCTCTTCCCCTTTCCTTCCATCTCAAGATCTCCTTGTTTACCAAAGATTTCTATTTCCTGTTGTCTATCTTTTCTTTTGCTAGTTTGTCTGACTTATTCACTTAACATTTATAGTCTCGAGGTTCTTCCACTTTTCTACAGATGACTCTGATTTATCTTTTTCTATGGTAGAGCAGTACTTCATTATATGTAAATACCACATTTTCTTTATCCATTCATCTGTTGTTGGATATATATGCTGCTTTCAAGATTTACCTATTGGGAATTGTGCTGCTATAAATAGGAATGGGTGAATCACTGTATTATAATGTTTCTAACTCTTTGAAGAAGGTACTTAGAAGAATAGCTAAGTTGAACGGAATTTCTATTTTTAGTTGTTTGAAGGTTCTTCACTGTAATTTTTATAGTGTTTTGTTTTTATATATATAGTACTGGAGATCAAACTCAGGACCTTGTGCTTGTGAGGCAGGTGGTGGCACCACTGACCTAAATCCCCGGCCTTCAATGTGGTTTCACTACTTGACATTCCCACCAACATTGTAGAAGGGCTCCTTTTTCTCTGCAGTTTTCCCAGCATTTGTTATTGTTTGATTTCTTGATAACATCAATTCTTTCTGGAGTGAGATAAAATCTCAGTGTCATTTTAATTTTCATTTCTCTGACCAGAGATTTGGACATATTTTCATGTATTTATTGTCAGTTTCTGCTTCTTCTGAGAAGCATCTGTTCATTTCAATTGCCCATTTTTTATTGGATTTTTTATTCTGGGATATCTAATTCTTTTAAGTTCTTTATATATTCTAGGTATTAGTCCTCTGAGGAGTAGACAGCAAAATTTTTCCCATTGTCTAGGTTGTCGCTTCACTTATGTTGTTGTTTCCTTTGCTGTGCAGAAGTTTTTTGATTTGGTATGATCTCAGTTGTTGATTCTTGATATTGTTTCTCATGTAATTGGGGTTCTTTCCAGAAAGTCCTTATCTATGACTGTGTCCATAAGGATTTTACCTGTTTTATCTTTGAGCAAGTTATGTTTTAATATCTAGGCCTTTGATCCATTTTTTTTTTTCTTCATGGCTGTAGATATTGGTCTAGATTCAGTCTTCTGCATGCATGTAACCAGTTTTCCCACCACCATTTGTTAAAAAAATGCTAAATTTCTTCCAACTTATGCTTTTGCCCTTCTGTCAAAGTTCAGATAACTGAATTGCCTTGGGTTGTTTCTGTCTCTTCTTTTCTGTTCTTTTGATCTGCATGTCTTGTTTTTGTGCTAGTACCATGCTGTTTGTATCACTGTAGCTTTGTGATGTAGATTGAAATCTGGGATTGTAATGCCTTCTGCCTTGTTTTTGTTGTCAGAATTGCTTTTGCCATTCTAGGTCTCTTTTGGTTCCATATAAATTTTAGGATTGTTTTCTCTAGTTCTGTGAGGAATGCTGTTGGCATTTTTATTGGAATTGCTTTAAATCTATATTGTCAACTTTTGACAATAGTGGTTCTACCATTCTAGGAACAGGGGATATCCTTTTATTTTCTGATGTCATTCTCTATCTCCTCTTTCTGACTGCTGTACATTTTTGTTACAGAAGTCTTCCACTTCTTTGGTTAGGTTAATTTCTAAATACTTAATTTTTCTTGATGCTATTGTGAATGTTACCATTTTCCTAATTTCTTTCTTGGTGAGTTCTTTATTGATGTACATGAACACAGTTGATTTTATACCCCACTATATTGCTAAATTTGTTAGTTTTATGAGTGTTTTGGTGGAATTGTTTGAGTCTTCTGTGTGAAGGATCATGTCATCTGCAAATAATGATAGTTTGATTTATTCCTTTCCTATACATGTCCCTTACATTTCTTTCTCTTACCTGCTTGCTCTGGCTAATGTTTTGACTACAATATTGAAGAGGAGTGGTGATAGTGGATATCCTTGTTTTGTTGCTGATTTTAGAGAGAAAACTTTTAGATGTTCTCCATTTAATATGATGTTGGTCATGGGTTTGTGATAAATAGCTTTCATCAGATTGAGATAAAGTCTTTTATACCTATTTTCTTCAGAGTTTTTGTCATGAATGTATGTTGGATTTTGTCAAAGCCTTTTTCTGAGTCTATTAAGATGATCTCGTGATTTTTGTCCTTGCTCTGTTTCTTATATATATTACCCTTACTGATTTTCATATATTGGACCATCCTTGCATCCCTGGATGAAATCTGCTTAGTCATGTTGTATGAACTTTTGATCTGTTGCATTCTGTTTGTCAATATCTTGTTGAGGACTTTTGTATGTTTGTTAAAGAGATTGGTCTGTTTTTTTCTTGTTTTAGTTGGGTCCTTGTCCAGTTTTGAAATCAGGGTAATGCTAGCTTCCAGGAAAAAGTTTGGGAATACTTCTTCCCTTTCAGTTTCATTAAAGAGTTTGAGGAATATTGCTGTTGGATCTTCCCGAAAATTCTTACAGAATTCAACAATGAATCCATCTAGCCCTGACTTTAGTTGATAGTTTTTTTTAAATTATTACTGCCTTGATTTCACTGTCTGTTACTCACTTGCTCAGGGCTTTTACATCTTCTTGATTCAGTTTTGGTAATTCATATGTATTTTGGAATGTGTCCGTTTCTTCTAGATTCTCCCATTTGTTGGAGTATAAGTTTTTATATTTATTAATAATCTGGATTTCAGCAGTGTCCGCTGTGATTTTGCCTTTACATTTCAAATTGTATTGATTTGGGTTGGGGTTGTTTCTTATTTTGGTAGCATTGGCTTTGTCTGTTTCTATTTTTTCAAAAAAACCAGGTCTTCCACTGATTCTTTGTTTTTTTTTTTTTTTTTTTTTTTTTTTTTTTTTTTTTTTTTTTTTTTTTTTTTTTTTTCTTTTTTAGTATATTTCTATTTTTATGGATTTCCTCTCATACATCTTTTTTCTGATTCCAAACATCTAGATCTTCTAGTGGCTGGCACAGTTTTTTATGAATAATGGGGCACATTCATTATGTATGGGATATGCAAGAGGGGCTCCATGCAGTGAAAATTCATTCCCACGACTTGCTTGGGGGTGAAAGGGCTGCTCAGG